AGCCAATTCACAGCAAATGTCACTTTACAAAAATAAATCCTTCAGTTCAATCGCACACATTGCAGCTGATCATTTATTCCCTGTACAGTTATAATTATTAGTTATAATAATGAAAAATGAATGTGCTGCACTTTAAGCTTTAAGTTGTTGAATTACATCAAAAACAGGCTGGAGCTGTTAAAGTTTACATTTCCTCTAAATCTGACCCATAAAGTAAACTTCAGAAAATATTTATACAGTTTACAAATAAATGAATATCCCACATAAATATCCCATATATATATTAAAAAATTCCAAATTCCCTTCTCACCCACCGTGGGTGGTTCTTATCCTCTAAGCTCGGGTCCTCTACCAGAGGCCTGGGAGCTTGAGGGTCCTGCAGTATCTTGGCTGTGCCAAGGACTGCACATTTCTGGACTGAGATGTCTGATGTTGTTCCTGGGATCTGTTGTAGCCACTGCTCCAGTTTGGGGGTTACTGCCCCGAGGGCCCCGATGACCACAGGCACCACTGTGGTCTTCACCTTCCAGGCCCTCTCCAGTTCCTCCCTGAGGCCCTGGTATTTCTCTAGTTTCTCGTGCTCCTTTTTCCTGATGTTGCAATCACTTGGTATTGCTACATCTACCACAACGGCTTTCCTCTGTTGTTTATCCACTACGACAATGTCTGGTTGGTTCGCCATTACCATTCTGTCTGTCTGGATCTGGAAGTCCACAGGATCTTAGCTCTGGCGTTCTCCACCACCTTTGGGGGTGTTTCCCACTTTGATCTCGGGGTTTCCAGTCCATATTCTGCACAGATGTTTCTGTACACAATGCCTGCCACTTGGTTATGTCGCTCCATGTACGCTTTCCCTGCCAGTATCTTGCACCCTGCTGTGATGTGCTGGACTGTCTCAGGGGCCTCCTTGCACAACCTACACCTTGGGTCTTGTCTGGTGTGGTAGATCTGGGCCTCTATTGCTCTGGTGTTTAGGGCCTGTTCCTGGGCGGCCAGGATGAGGGCCTCTGTGCTGTCCTTGAGTCCAGCTTTTTCCAGCCATTGGTAGGATTTACTGATATCAGCCACTTGGGTTATTTGCTGGTGGTACATCCCATGTAGGGGCTTGTCCTCCCATGATGGTATCTCTGGCACCTCGACCTCCGTTCCCTGTTGTCTGAGACATTCACTGAGCACATTGTCTGTTGAGGCTTTGTCCCTGATGTATTTATGGATCTTAGTTGTTTCGTCCTGGACAGTGGTTCTCACACTCACTAGTCCTCTGCCTCCGTCCTTGCGGCTCGTGTACAGTCTCAGGGTGCTGGATTTGGGATGGAACCCTCCATGCATGGTTAGTAGCTTTCTAGTCTTAATATCTGTGGCTTTTATCTCCTCCTTTGGCCAGCTGATTATTCCAGCAGGGTATCTGATTACTGGCAGGGCATAGCTGTTTATCGCACGGACTTTGTTCTTGCCATTGAGCTGGCTTCTCAGGACTTGCCTTATTCGTTGGAGGTATTTAGCTGTGGCTCCTTTCCTTGTGGCCTCATCGAGGTTGCCATTTGCTTGTGGTATACCTAGGTACTTGTAACTGTCCTCTATGTCTGCTATTGTTCCTTGTGGGAGTGAGACCCCTTCTGTGTGGATCACCTTCCCCCTCTTTGTGACCAGCCGACCACATTTCTCTAGTCCGAATGACATCCCAATGTCAGTGCTGTAGATCCTGGTGGTGTGGATCAGTGAGTCGATGTCTTGCTCACTCTTGGCGTACAGCTTGATGTCATCCATGTAGAGGAGGTGACTGATGTTGGCCCCATTTTTGAGTCGGTATCCGTATCCAGTCTTGTTGATAATTTGGCTGAGGGGGTTCAGGCCTATGCAGAACAGTAGCGGGGACAGAGCATCTCCTTGATATATCCACATTTGATGGACACTTGTGCAAGTGGTTTGCAGTTGGCTTCAAGGGTGGTTTTCCACAGCCTCATCGAGTTTGCAATGAAGGCTCTCAGAGTCCTGTTGATGTTATACATCTCTAAGCATTCAATGATCCAAGTATGCGGCATTGAGTCATAGGCTTTCTTGTAATCGATCCAAGCCATGCACAGGTTGGTGTGTCGGGTTTTGCAGTCTCGGGCAACTGTGCGGTCTACGAGGAGTTGGTGTTTGGCTCCTCTGGTATTTACACCGATACCCTTCTGTGCCGTGCTCATGTGTGTATCCATGTGTTTGCTTATCTTGGCCGCTATGATGCCTGACATGAGCTTCCAGGTTGTGGAGAGGCAGGTTATTGGTTGGTAGTTGGGCTGCCAGTCGCTCATGGAGAGCAGTGAGTTTCTTTAGCCAGTAGGCATGGATCATGTCAGGCCCTGGTGCTGTCCAGTTTTTCATGCCTGAAAGTCTTTCTTGAACATCTGTCTCAGTGATGGTTACCGGGGCTTGTTCAGGGAGGTTGCTGTGGTCCTCTCGTAGAGAGGACCACAGCTGAGCAGCTAATGCTTCCTGTTGTGGGACGCCTCCCATATGCCTTTCCAGTATTGTTCAGTCTCCAGCCTTGGTGGGTCTGCTCTGTTGTTATTACCCTGCCATTGAGAGTACACCTTAGCTGGTTGAGTGGAGAAGAGCCGGTTAATCCTTCTGGATTCATTCTCCCTTGTGTATCTCTTTAGGCGGCTGGCCAACGCTTGGAGCCTCTGTTTGGCAGTTTCGAGTGCTTCAGGTATGGGCATCTGCCTGTACTTTCTTACCTTGATTTTAGCCTCTAACCGTCTTTTCCATGGTGGGTATTGGGTCTCATGGTTGCTCTTATAGCCAAGCATTTCAAGAATCACTGATGCTGAGTTGTAGATCAGCTCATTGGTTTCTGTTATGGTGTTGGTAGGGATCGTTCTCAGACCATCAGACTTTCTGATGGTACTTCACTCAGCCGTTGTAATTGGCACCGGGGAGGCCTGGTTGTCATTCGGGTCATGATTCTCTCTCTCAGGTCAGCAGCTGTCTCGTTCAGCTCTGTTTCGCTCATTGGGGCCGTGTATCCCCTCACTGGGTGGGGACTTGTAGTTAAGTCCCCACAGTTCTGACATCCGGGTTCCTCCCTTTTGCCGTAGCATTTGTGTTGTATCTCGTCAATCTCAAGTTGTGATAGCAGTTGCCGTTTGCGGATGTTGGAACACTGAGCTACTAGTTGTTTAGCACTTAGTGTTGACTGGGGATGTCGAAGTAACCATTCCTTCCCCAGTCTTTGCATGTAACCTCTCTCACTAGGGTTACTTGAGTAGTAGCATTCCAACAGATCCACATTTTCATCTCTCGCCCATTTCCGTCTTGTTCCAGTAGCCCATTTGTCATCAAGGTGCTCTGGTTCCCCAACACCTGACGCAGACCTTGTTTGGCCGGGCGACGTCTGAGCCGGCATGTTACGCAACTTAGTATCTCTCATGGTATGAGGTAGGCAGTAGCTTGAAGGGTCTTGCCTAAGGACCCAGACTGGATTCGAACCCCGCCCTCTCGGGTGATATACTGATGCCTTATGTATTGAGCTATCCAGTCAGCTATATATATATATATATATATATATATATATATATATATATATATATATATATATATATATATATATATATATATATATATATATATATATATATATATATATTTGCTCCTGCAGCAGCTGATCCAGTTCAATCAAAACCACAAACTGCAGAAGATTTTGATGATTTCCTTTTATTGCACTGATACCATGATGCAAACAACTAAAAAGAAATAAAACAAAGAGTGAAAGAAAACCAAAAGAAGCTTTTTCACTGTAGAACCAGGTTCTGCATGAATTCACCCACACACCCTACTGAGGCCGACGCCGAGCGGCCGCAGAACCAGACACACAAAGAACCCGCAGCTAGCAAAACCACACATTCAAGTATTTCTATCATTGCACAGGCACTAGAGTTTCCTACTGAATATATGAACGTCCAGCCAGAGGCGAGTAGAGACAACAGATCAGCTGCTGCTCAGGACGGAGAAGCGTCTCCCTCATCAGACACATTCAAACCAAAACAACCAGAGGATTTAGTGTCACATTTGGTTTAAATCTCAGCTGCTGCACAGAAAGAGGCCTGAACAGCTGCTGGAAACAGACTCAGTGTTAGAGAGGAGAGAGAACCATGAGGGACCAACAGCTTGGATTGCTGCACATGCTGCTGCTGCCCCCTGGTGGGCACACAGAGAAGTACACTGTTCTAATGAAAAACATTTCACTTCCTCTGATTTTTGTTGTTGTTGAGCAAACAATAAATATAAACTTTAATAAATACGCTGTCAAGTAAAAACTTAGAGAGAAAATGATCCCGGAGTAAACCAGCACTCCCACCAGAACCCTCCGACAAGACGCTGACACGGCAGAATCAGCAGAAATCAGATTAAAAAAACAGTTTACAAAATAACCTCATTTTGATCCAGCTCTTCTTCTGTGGTAAAAGTCTGCAGCTCCAGCTCTTCTTCTGTGGTAAAGGTCTGCAGCTCCAGCTCTTCTTCTGTGGTAAAGGTCTGCAGCTCCAGCTCTTCTTCTGTGGTAAAGGTCTGCAGCTCCAGCTCTTCTTCTGTGGTAAAGGTCTGCAGCTCCAGCTCTTCTTCTGTGGTAAAGGTCTGCAGCTGGCACTAAGGAAGTGAGTTTGGAAGCTTGATTCCCTCAGAATTCTCTGAATCGAAGCAGACCCTGTAACCAGAGCCCATGATCTGGGTTTGACTCGGTTCTAACCTACGACCCGTATCTGACCCGGTTGGTTCTAAGCTACATGTTGATTTTAAGGAGTTCAGGTGAAACCCGGTGGTTCTGGCTCAGTTTGGGCTTCAGATAGCGGTCCAGTCGGTTCTCCTGGGAGCGGGTCGGACCCAGTCCCCTGGCTACCTCGTCCTGGGGCCGCTGCGGGCCCCCGGCGCCCCCTGCAGGTCGTCCTCCACCACGTAGCCGTAGCCCTCCTTGTCGATGCAGTCGGACAGCGCCTTCAGCACCTGGACACAGAGGAGCGGTATCAGCTGGTTCTGATGGTGCCGCTGCTGAGCTCAGATCAGATGCAGTCTGCGTAGTGGCCACCAGGGGGAGCCACAGGGCTCCACATTGGGCCCCCTCCTGTTCATAATTGCTAATATGTATCTTTATGCTGATGACATTATCATAATTAGCATTAGCTGCTGCTAACGCTCCAGAGGCAGCTAACTGCAGTGAAGTCTTTGTCTGCTGAGCTCGGTGTTTTAGCACCAGTTTAGCTCTCTGCCCTCATCTCTTCCTGGTTTCTGATGTGGTGCTTTTGTTCTGGACCAGAACCAGAACCATTTTAATGAACAGTTACACAGATGGACTGATGCAGGGCGACCCGGCTCATTCAGAACCTGTGGTGCCGCAGCTAACGTTGAGTGAAGTCTGACCCGTTTGGTTCTGAACAGCTGCAGGTTGGCTAGCAGCTCCTCGAGGTGCTAACAAAGCTAACTCTGCTAATAGTGTTGATGGCGCTAATGGTGCTAACCCAGTACAGGTTCTCATACTCCTAACAGTGCTGAGGCCCTAATGGACTTAAAGATGCTAACGGTGCTAATGGAGCCAACACTGCTGTTAGAGCCATAAATAGAAAATATGTAAGTAATTTGTTTGATGGTTTCTTTTTTATTTTATTACACTTAGATAAGATTATTTGTTCATACAATTTTTATTGTGAAGTTTAGTTTTATTTTGAAAGGCTTACTTCCTGTTGGGAACAATTCTATTAACAGTTTGGCTCTTAACGGATTATTTAGACACGGTGCAATACAGTTTTTGACCGTGTAAACTGTGTATTGTTAGAAAAGGAAATTGTAAACGGTAGCTCTAATTTTTGTATTTATATAATTTTTATAGATAAATATTTTTCGTTAAAATTCATAGTTTCACGCGTCCTTTACTCTCCGTGTCTAAGGAATGACACAGATATTGGATGTGTTGCCATAACAACTGCTAACGGGTCTAATGCTGCTAATGACACTCAGAGAGCTAGCAGTGCTAAAGGAGCTAGCGATGCTAACACATCACTGACCAGGCGCAGGCGGCGGTCCATGGCGTCCAGGTGAGGCTGGATGAGAATCGGGTCGAGCCGGTCCTGCGTCATGGACTCGGCCATCAGAACCGACAGCTTGTACTCCTCCTTCGCCAGCAGCTGCAGACGCAGGTGGGTGGACTTCCTGACCCTGCAGATCAAAGGTCAAAGCACAGGTGAGGGCTTTGGACGACAGGCACCATCTTGATGGGAGCATCTGTAGCTTCAATGTCACTGAATGTGGATCGGACCTGCAGCACTGCAGCAGAGGAACCAGGATGGACATCTCATCATGAGAGTGTTTCCCAAAGCTGGCGGACAAACAGCAGCAGCTTGATGATAAACTGGTTATTGTTTATGATCAATAACCAGAGATTGCTTGAATTTTTACCCTCTGCCGTTGTCCAGGTGGATGATGAACGTCTCGTTTCCGAACTTCTCAAACGTCTCGTAGTGGTGCCGGTCCATGTTTCCTGCACACAAACGAGACGGAGGATGAAGACGTGAATGCGGCGAGCGACGGTTGCCTAGGTAACGCTGCAGAAGAGACCGACCCATCAGGAAGTCAAAGACCGTCATGTCCATGACGTCCAGCAGCCGCGAGCCGCTGTCGTACGGCGGCGTCTGCTTCACCTCCTCGCAGTAATCCGGGTCCACTTCCCACCTGCATCAGGAAACACCGGAACCAATAATCACATCCATCAGGTATTGATTGTTCTGTTAATCATCAACTGGAGCAGAAATGAAGCCGAAACTGAACAGAATGGAGAAACAAATCAAATCCTCCTTCTGCTCACATCCTGGAAAAATATTCCACTAATCGCCGTTTGAATCAGATTAACCTGATAATCTACATTAATCCATACTCTGTATTGACTCTCATGTTGATGTTCAAAGGATTTTTATCTGCAGATGATCAAACCTGGAAAGTTATTGACAATAAAATTGTTTTCTTATTTAAAAAGAATTGAATTATTTGAATCATTTCAGTGTATTTATAATATTGTATAAAAAGACAAATCTGCAGAACGTGCTGATTTTCTATCTGATTAGTAGATATAATAATCAATAGATTATTTGATTACTAAAATAATGATTAGTTGCAGCACTACATTTATGGTTATTAAATATGGTTGAATAATCTTTATGTTTTTATCTAAAACTTATTTTAACTTATATTTCTTTCTGTCGTCTTTGCAGATCAAACTGACTGTTTTCCACAGCTTTGCCCTCCTCTGACCAGCGGCCTAGTCCAAACCTCTGCGCCTCTTACTCTGCCTTCTTGCGCTTGTGGTAGGAGCGCCTCCAGGGGTTCCTCCAGGTCTTGCGCTTGGCCAGGGCGAGGTCTGGCAGGAAGGCGGCCAGCGATCCTTCGATCTGGTCGGGTTTCCCACACAGAGCGTGCTCAGTGGAGCAGTAATAGGAGCACTCGCCGTAGAAACACACGTTGTTGGCTGGGCAACACGGACAGGAGGGTTAGCAGCTGCAGGCGCCACCTAGTGGCTGGAGGAGCACAGGTAGGCCGGAGACCGGACTGGTTCCACTGGGGAAATGAACTGGTTTCACCTGGGGAGATGAAGAAGGTTCTCCACAGCTTCTTGTCTCGGGTTACGTCTCGGATCTCTTTGGTCATGTTGAGCAGCCGGCCAGCGACTGGAGGGACTCGGCGGAAGTCAAGGATCCTGTTGGACACAGAGAGACAGGAGACACTGAGGGACGGACACGAGGACGGGTGTCAACACAGAATCCAGCATGAACTTAATGGGCTGGTTCTGATGGGAAGCTCTGCTCTGATTGGATCAGACCAACATGGAAAAGTTCATTTAGTTCATTTAGTTCAATTAGTTCAATTAGTTCAATTAGTCTGTTAGAGCCATAAATAGAAAATATTTAACTAATTTGTTTGATGGTTTGATTGTTTTATTTGATCATACTTAGATAAGATTATTTGTTCAGACAATTTTTATTGTGAAGTTTAGTTTTATTTTGAAAGGCTTACTTCCTGTTGGGAACAATTCTATTGACAGTTTGTTCACTTGACGGATTATTTAGACACGGTGCAATACAGTTTTTGACCGTGTAAACTGTGTATTGTTAGAAAAGGAAATTGTAAACGGTAGCTGTCATTTTTGTATTTGTATAATTTTTATAGATAAATATTTTTTGTTAAAATTCATAGTTTCACGCGTCCTTTACTCTCCGTGTCTAAGGAATGACACAGATATTGGATCTGTTGCCATAACATAGTCAATTAAGTAAATTTAGTTCACTTGGTCCAATTAGTTCATTCAGTTCATTAAGTTCACTAACCCTAACCCTTCCCAGTCCGGGGTCTTTCTGCACGGAGTCTGCATGTTCTCCCTGTGCATGCTGGGTTCTCTCCGGGTTCTCCGGCTTCCTCCCACAGTCCAAAAACATGACTGTCAGGTTAACTGGCATTCCCAAATTGGTGTGAGTGTGCATGGTTGTTTGTCTCTGTGTTGCCCTCCAACAGACTGGTGACCTGTCCAGGTGACCTGTCCAGGTGACCCCGCCTCTCGCCCGGGGTATTTCCTCCGCAGCCAAACTGGGCCGAAGTAACCAGTGATTGTTCGTTTAGCTCATGTTTCCATACTGTTCTCATGAGAGCTGATGAGAAACCGCTGCTGCAGGGACGTTGTTGAAAAACCAGGCGATTCTAGAGGAGAGTCAGTCGGATCAGAGCTGAGCTGCTGTTGTATTAGTTTACTGGCATATAGGCCACTTACAATATGGCGGACGCTGTAACGTATCGCAGCAACGGGCCGACCCGCTCCATGTATTCATGTCTATGATTCCAGTCCAGTGGAGCCCACAGTGGGTCCGTTGGGTCGGCATCCGGCATGTTTTAGTCTCTCCCTGGTTTAACCCACCTGGCTCTAATGACGGCTCGTTAGAGGCCGAAGGAGAACCTGGACCGGCTGAACGGTTGTTGGTACCGGGGACAGAACTGAAACCTCCAGGACCCACTTTGGGCACCACTGCTCTACTCTGGCGTCTTTCAGAGACCCTCAGAGAATTTCTGTGTTCGTTATGGCGCCTCCTGCTGGCAGTAGAGGATGAAGACACTGATGATGTGAGCAGTGGCGGAGCTCGACTTTTTTCCAAGGGGGGCCAAAGGGTGAGCAAGGCTTTATCAGAGGGTCCATATACAAATGATGAACCAAAGGAAAAAATATTTGTTTTCTTTCATTCAAAATTAATTAATATAACTAGTGAGGTCATAATTCAAAGCTTTAATATGACATAGCCTACTTACATTTCAGTCATTATAAAACTTAATGGTTTTTCTCATATTCTTACCACACATTTCAAGCAAGAGCTGGGAGATATAAAACATTAGAGGGCAGCATGTCACTAAAACATGTTAAAAGAATCTGTCTAAAACACGATCTATCAGCACTAGCATGGCTAATATAATAAACGAGGCACTATGCAGCGGTACACAACCATTTGTTTTCTTTTTAGAAATGTATGACAAGAGCCGCCTCTCATTAGGAAGGTAACAGCGGTTACTGCTGAGCGTAAAATGTTGGAAATACCTGCAAAACTCCTGACGGTGTAACTCTAAAGCCGTTGATGTGTTTTGGATCAAGCAGGAACCAACATGTCAGTTTGACCAATGAACAGCGTCGGGCATCGGGCTGCCTTCAGGGACAGTCGGAAATTACAGTTTTCCTGGCAAATCTTTGCCGATCTCATAAGTATTATATTTTAAAATGACCATTTCCAGTGGGGTGGCACTAGGGGTGGCCAGGGGTCTGTTGGGGGTGGCAAGTGCCACCCCCAACAGACCTCTCTGGCTCCGCCACTGGATGTGAGGCATGCCACACTTTTCAGATTTGACCTACTTGTCCAGGTGAAAGGCGGCGATCTCTGCGTTGTGTCTCTCAAAGTCAGAGAAGTAGAAGAAGTCAGGCGGGGTTTCCTGCTCCCGGGTCTGT